CTGCACGGGAATACTGTAAATAGCCATCGAGCCATAAGTCTGGTGAGGTTAATGGAAACGAGAGGTGGGAAGCCTTGGCCTCCCCTAGGGGGTTCTCACTCAAAATTGGGGTGGAAACGAGTCAAAAAGTACTGTCACTTCATGGTGCTCAAGACTACGCCTGAAGACAGTCGTACAATATATCCCTCTACCATGATGACTTTTGTGGACCCCGGTCTGGCATGTGACGATCAGGTCGCATTGGTAACAATAACAAGCAGTGAGTGTTTATTACCATCGCTCTTTAAAGAAAATTGAGGGCTACTGGAGACGGAGACGTACTTAGAAATTTTTAACTACGGCAGCGTTTTTCAAACTAGGCACCCCCTTGAGGGCATGACAACCCTATGTGGGGGGCGCGAGAATATCGAAAAAACCAAAAGAAAAGATTTAAGGAGGTCACTTCACGAAAATCGAATTAAAAATCGATTTTTCAATTTTGATTGAAAAATAAAATACCACTCTTTTTCTTCCTAATGCAATTTGGGCTTTTGCCTAGCTGAATTAGAAGTATTTTTAATATTTTTAAAAAGTTGTTTACATTTTGTCAAACCTCAAACAGCTGGCTGCCACGCCTCTCAAATCAAAAAACAAAAAGACACATGCTAATACTTTTCAGCCTTATCAAATAGTTTAAAATTGATCAAAAAGAATTCACTTTGGATCAGCAGCTTATTCAGGAAAGAAGTGAATAGTTGTAGCTGTTTATTTTGTGGTAGCTTGCTTACATGCTGTTTTTACGCGGTTAAATATAACGAATTTTTGCTATTAGTAGAATCGGTTTTTATCAAAAATGATTTTATAAATATGCCCCCAGTTTAATAATAAAACACTTAAAAACGAAAGTTTGAAAAAGTAGGTAATGAAAACCGAAACTTTCTGAGAATTGAATGTTGCATAACAGTCAGACAATTCCACAACATAAATAATTCAATTTTGAAAGTAAAGTTAGGTAAGTTTAATAAAGAGTATGTTTCTTTTTAAATTCATTTGAATGTTTTTAGAAATGACTGACATTGTAATTGTTTTCTTGTGCTTTCAAACAACATTAATTACATAAATAAAATGTGTAAAAAATACAGATTCACATACTTTTGGTTGCCAAATCCAGGATTTACACAAAATTGTTACATATGTTGTGATTTTTGTGGTGTTATTAAAACATTTCCTAATACTAAGTTTACTAAAGTAGTAGTTAATCAAAAAAAAGATACACAATTACATGAAGTGAACATTGTGGCTTTTATATTTTATGAGGTATATTAAAAAAGAAGCAGCAGAAAAATATTTTGTGGAGTTATGAATTTGTCACCCACCAAAGTGGTTTTGCGAGTCCATGCATAAATTAAATAACGCAACATAGAAAGTAGCCGAAGCGTCTATGACGTTAGCTGCCGAAACAATAATGCAGTAATAAATAATGGAGGTCCAAATGTACCGGTGGCTATCGATGGTACCTGGCAAAAAAAAGGGGCCATACTTCTGTAAATGGTATTGTTACGGCAGTTAGTGGGGACACTGTGAAAATTGTTGATGCTAAAAATATTATCGAGAAATGCTCATGTAATTTTAATGACAATGCACATTGCAATGAGTGTTCAGAAAATGACATTGAAATAATACGGAATGGAAGTTGAAGGTGCACTTTGTATCTTCCATCGCTCAAAGGTATTGCACAATTTACGATATACACAATACTTGAACTATATGGGAACTCTAAAGCATGCAAAGCAGTTTTAGAATCTAAACTTTAAAGAGATGTTAACATTAATAAATTAGAATGTGTTGATCATGTTGTGTGTGAGAAAAGGCTGGGGACACAACTCAGGGTATTAAAAATTAAAAAGGCAAAGAGCTCGAGTGACAAAAATCCTAGGATGGCGTAATAGATTGACAGATGCAGAAATATGATAAAATTGTAAAGATACTACATTTTGGCTATCCAAATCAACTCAGTTAACTTGTCAGCCATGGGCGGTTTACATATATTTTGATAAAAATCTCCCCAGATTTGAATCTACGACACGGTTTATGCCCCATGGGAGGCGAGATCATGGTGTAGATATATAACACATATAAGCGTAAACACACATATAAGCATATGCATTGTGTTTATGCTTATATGTGGTTACACATATAAGCATAAACACAACTTACCTATTGCAATTAGGAATTGCATAAAAAAAAGTATTTAGAGGTCTCTAGTCTTGCACTTTTATCTAGATGCTTGTTTGATAAAACTCAAAATTTTAGTGAAAGCGTAAATAGTATTTGGTCTATAATTCAAACTGTATATGTGAACTTTAAAAACTGGAGTACATGAGGCAATGTCTTTTATAGAAATCAAAAGTGTTATTACTAAATTAAAAGTTTTAGATGTATTAAGCATTCAACCCTGGATTTTTACAAATGTCGAGCGTTGCAAGATGTAGATCATGCGTGCATTAAGAAAAGCAAAATAACCAGTTTTACACGAACCAAAGAAGCTAGAATTAAAACAAACAATTAAAATGTAGACAAGTAAGAAGATAATCTTGCAGATGATACCAGAAATTCAAGTTATAGTTCTGGTATGCATTAGTTAATAGTAAGTTTTACTTTAAATCTCTATTTCTCAAAACTGTAAATTTCAACACAAAAGGAACATTTTTGAAAAACTACTTTATTTTATAGCCTTGAAATCCTAACATGTATTAACACTATACAAATAAATATTTTAATGAGAGATTTGTCAAAAATTTTATTCAAAAAATTATTTATGGATTAAAAATGTACAAGAATTTTTCACCGTTTTAAAAATTTTGACGTGTTACTCCACATGGCGAATTTTTTAAAAACTAATCAAAATTTTGAAAAATGCTCTCATTAAATTAATAAAAACAATACAATGAATGCAATAAAAAAATTCATGACTGTATAACTGTACAATTTTTAAAAAAATGTTCCTTTAAAATTGGTCATTTTAAAATTACGGAGATAGGGAAAATGCTGCGTGAAGTGACCCCCTTAAAATAATTATTAATTTACCGAAAGGAAGTAAAACAAAATACATTCTGACATGATATAAAATAAAATACATATTCCTACTGATATAAGATACTTTTAAATACATCAGTGCGGCAAAAAGCATTTAGTAATTGAGTTATCAATGCTTAATTAAAAGCAAGTTTAGTTATTACTAGTGACTTTCATGGGCTTGTCATATACAAAATGTAATGCAAAAATTGATAATATGCGCAATATACAATACTAAAGTCGCATTGTAGGTTTAGCATGGAAGTATATTATTATTGCATTCAATACATTGTTGTATGAGGAGGGGGTCGGCAATGAAAATTATGACTGAAAATTGGGTGGCAAATATGGAAAGTTTGAGGAGCACTGTACTACAGTCAAGTAATGTGGATTAAACCTGAGCTTGTACCTCAACCTCATAGCTTAACCTCAAAGCCATCGTATTTGAACCCAAGAGATCTAACAGCAAAACCCAAACCCCCGGGAAATGCCAATATTTACACCCCAAACCACTGCTTCATTATTTTAACAACGGGATATCTTGGTCCAAAATTAAAGTTTTTCGGAAAGTTGAGGGGTTAGTGCATTGACCCCACAACAGGTCCAAGGTAAACTCAGGCTGGGCAAGGTTGACTCAGCTTCGCCTTCGAAGCGATAAATGAGTACCAAGTTTTTTGGGGAACTGAACACTGGTTTCGCGTCGACTCCAAATCGAGGGAAACACCTGCTCCTGCCCGCAGTCCCCCAAGGGTCGTATACTGAGTTAAGTAGGCCTTGTCCCCAGGGGTGCCACTAAGTTAACTAAAATAAAATTTTTGCTTTGTTTACCGAAGAATTTTTTTTTTAATTATATTTGGAATAACTTCTTTGAACGCGCGATCTCACTAAAATATTTTTTTCACGTTATTTTAAAGGGGGAGATTCTAAAGTCACAAGATCAGTGGGGAATTTTCAAAATTGCCCCTTTTTTGTTGTGACACCCTTTCCCGAAACGAGTGAGTTTTTTTAAGAACAGTTGAGAAACGTTTTAAAAAAACCAACAAAACTTCAAAAGGGTTTAGAGATACAAATGCATTGTGGAAATCCATTTTGAGCCCCCATCAACGGATTACAAAAAAATTATTCTTCCAGCTTCCAATTTTTTTGGACCAATACTGTTCTTCTAAGGTCTCATGTTCCAGGACCCCCTTTTCAGGCACATTTCTTCAGGAAAACGCCACTTAGGTTGGCTATGTGCTTTAAGTATGTTCTCCAACATCCACAGCACGTGCCCCATTGCTATGAAAACTACTGAAAAACTAACAAATTTAAAAAAAGTAATATTTCGTAAGAATTTGTTTTTCTTTGGGTTATATTTTTTTGGGGGTTGGAGAAAAAGGATGAGGGAAAATTTTACAATGCGGGGACACCGTCCGGGAGGCGAAAATCCTTTATCTAGAAATTCGCGGGAAACCAGATTATTTCCCCCTTCCGGAAAAAATTTCCAAAAAAATATTTCTCTTCATTTTTATATACCTTTTTCCCCCGAAGAAGGGGACAAACCCGGGGGAAAGACCCCAATTTTGAAAGCCGAATGCTTTTACCACTGAGCTATACACTGCGTCAGAAAACCCTTTTGTTTTGCGGGTAGGAAAGGATAAAAAAATGCTTTATTAGAAAATATGCGGGAACGGGACAAACTTTGCCGCCTTCAAAATTCCCCAAAAAAATTTTTTTCCTTCACTTTTTGAAAAAACTCCTGGGTTTAAACCCGGTGCCCAAATTTTTCCGCGGAAAATGTTTTTAACCATAAACTATAAAACCCGCGTCAGCTAACCCCTTGTTGGGGTTTGGGGGGGGAACGGGGTACGAAAATGTTTTTGTTTAAAAAATATGCGAACGGGACAGAATCATTCCCGCCTTCAAAATTTTCCTCCAAAAATATTCCTCTTAAATTTCCATGAAGAAGGGAGCACCCGGGGTTTGGGAACCGGGGACCTCGATGTGCAGTCGAATGCTCGACCACTAAACCCATACCCCCGCGTCAGAGAACCTTTTTTTTTGCGTTCCGTAAGAACAGATACGAAAAAAGCTTTTTTCTAGAAATATTCGGGGAAAGAAAAACAGATCATTTTCCCCCACCGAACCCCTCCCCATTTTTTATTGGTCCTATTGTCCCCCTCTGTGGGTGTTTAAATTTATTTAAATCGGATTATCTCAGGTTTTTCCGATTTGGCTGAAGGTCAGTATCGTTCAACTCCCCGCCGGCATCGCCTTTTTCCTTGGGCCCCCCTTGCCCCGCTAAAAATTTTTTTGAAAGATTTTTTAAACTTTTTAGCCAAAGAAGTATAACTTCTTACGTGCGTACATAAGTACTCACACACTTTTTTTTTACCTAGCTCATTCATATTACAAAAGTAAGAAACTCAAAACTACTCATTTTTGCATTTTAAGACCTTAAATTATTTATTTGATTTTTGCAACAAAAAAAGATTTTCATTCAAAGGAATTTGCAAGATGATACAAGAATACTTACTCTTTAAAAATGATAATAGGCAATGAATGCGCAAATTGTTTTCTTTTTATATAATGCTTTACTTCAAATTCTAAGTTCTTAAGTAAGTGATTGAAACAAATATATACAGCTAATAGAAGTTACAATTTGGATAAACCTAAAAAGAAATGTTCACTGCATTCGTCATAAATTAGCTAAAATCATTTTAAATTTTTAGTTAAAACCAGTTGATTATTTAATTTCCAAATTTTAAAATTATTTTCTCAATTTTAATAAAAATTAAAGTGCCTGCATCTTTTCTGTGTTTACAAATTATCCCTTTTTCCTTCTTTTTCATGTAAATATGGGAAAATTTCAGTTAGACCTGTGCTTCTCAAAGTTTCAATATTTGCGACCCAATATTCAGACATAATTTTCATCGCGCCCTCAACCTCTATACATACCAACGTATTTAATTCAATAATACACTTTGACACTAAAGCTACAGTACGACTTTAAACGTTTATAAATGTTTCGCTCACTCAAAGCATTAATTCCCCTGACGTATATATACGTCTTTCCAAAGTACAATGTTTTCTGTGCACTGCTATCCATAAAATTATTCCGAAGACTTTGGAATGCAATAATAGGGCCTGTAAAGTGTTTGCGAAGAATTTACTTATTTCAGAGGATTTGCTTATTTATTCCTTTTCTCAGCTCCCCCTTCCCCCATCAATACATCCCATTCGTGCACCTACGTGGAAAATGGAGGCTTTGGGGAGCGAATCGCTTAGCTTTAATTGAGTATTTAAGGGAATAATTATAAACCGTACAAATATTATCAAGATAAGTTTCAATTCTTGTATATCAGTTTATGTATGACAAGCCCATGGGGTCATTGGTAGTTATTAATGTTCTTAATTTAGTATTGTTAAATTAACTATAAAATACATTGTGCTGTACTGATACATTTATAAGTGTATTACATCATTGTAAATGAGTATTTTATTTTTTTTATTATGCCAGAATGTATTTTTGTTTACTTTCAGTAAATTATTAATTTTTTTTATGTAATCCTTTGTTTTCGACTTTTTAGTATGCTTGCACTCCCCTCGCAAAGTTATCAGATAGACTTACATGTCTATATGTAACACAAACATCGTGCCGTATATCAATTATATTACAAAATAACGCTTTAACAATGTAAAATCAAAAAAATTAATTAATATTTATTTATATTTGTGTAAATTAAAATATTAACGCTGATATATAAAAAATATATTTTTGTAAAGAAATTAAAGGAAAGGATATTTTTTCCGGGATACATATAAATTTGTTGAAATTAAAATACAGTAAGACCCCGCTTAACGCTGGGTATATGTTCCATCAAAGTTGAGTGTAATATGAAACAGCGTTAAACGAGGTTATCTCTTCATGTAAATAATGGGGATAGGGAAAATTGATTGAAAATTGGTCAGGTATTTTACCATTAAATTTATTAATTATGTTTTTTTAAACAAAAAAAAAAAAAATTAAATTTTTTTACAATATAGAAACATGATAAACGAATATACAAAAACAAATAAATGAAATTCAAGCAATAGTTTACATTTGATCATTGTCTCTTCTTTTTTCCCAATTTTCTCCCTTTTTTATCAAGAAGGTAGATTGGCTTAATGGCATAGGTTCAATTTCATCGTCAACCTTAAAAAAGTCGTTTTTCCTTTCTTATTGTATTATTTCTAGAATGAATAATTTAATTGCAGAGTTGTCGTAGGCAATTGCCATAAATATTTTTTTTTTGTTCTAAAGAATGGCCCTCATTGTTAAAGGGCCACCCAAGCAACAATTTGAGATTGAGTTCACCAGTATCTGATATTCAACACTTGCATTCTAGTTTCTAGTGAAATGCTTTTTTTTTATTTTCGTGTTTTTTTCTATAAAAACAGGTAAAACAAAAATTTTGCACCAATTTAAAACATTTTAATATAAATTTATACTTACAGTAACGTCAAAAAATTTTGAAAAGATAAAAATCGTTTGTATAACATCACAAGAAAGAAGAAACAAGATAAACGCCGATATCGGCAAACCAACGCTTGGGGGAATTTTGGGGGAAACTCAAAACAAAAAAAAGAGGAAACCCAAACAGCGCTAAACGAAACAACGTTAAGTGGGATCTTATTTATGTTTTAAAAAAACTTTTTGCTCAAACTTTTCCCAAAAACAGGGGTTAATGAATCAAAATGTAAATTTTACATAACCAAACTGAAAATCGAAACATTGGGATATTGCACATGTTTGTTTTACAAAGAAAGAAGAAACGATCAATAGAATTTTTTTTTACAAAATATATGTTTCTACTATATTTAAAATGGAAAAGAATTGAGTCTAAAGATGCAAATAAAATAAAATTAATAAAATGAGCGTGGAAATCTGATATGAAAGCAAATATAAATAGGGATAAAACTGTTTAAAGATAAATACTTTCGAACATAATAAACTGCTCTTTTTTGCTAAGGTTTACTCATTTTCCACTGGGGAATTTTAAAAATCTTATTTGTAAGGGTTATGTAAGAAGCAAAAAAATTCCTCGGTTTCAAGTTTACGTGCAAGAGTTTTGAATATTTTCAATTTTTTGAGAGTAAAGAGAATGAAATGTTCAACCTCAAACATTCGACTTGCATTTTAAGGCATTGCACATTCAAAGCAACGAAAAAAATTTAAAAAAATTTATTTGACAAATGTGAAAAAATTTTCACTGAGAAAGAGAAATACACTTAATAGATGAAGTAATTTTTTATTCAAAGCTTAAAAATATCGGGAAAAATTGAAACATTATTTTTTAAACAATTAAAATTCATAATACTTTAACCTTTTTCACACAAAAACTTTAAACAAAACATTAACAAAATGCAATTTAAATACAAAAAAAAAATTTTTTTTTTAAGTTGAGGTGAATGAAATATTTAACGAAAATTTAAGCATTTCTACCCCCCCCCCTCTAATTACGATATTTTTTTGATGAAAAGTTGTCAAATGTTTTTCCTAAAAGAATTAAAAAAAATCGAAATGCGTTCACATATTTTAAAAGCATTTATTTTTCTTAAAAATTTTTTAATTTTATCCAACCATTAAAAGTAAGATCCACAGAAAATGACTCTTTTTTACAAAATTTGAGCAGCATTAGGCAACGCTTTAAAACCTTCAAACAGATTGAAATTGTCATTCCTCAATTTTGTTCCCTGCAAGCTTTTAAAAAAGTGTAATTACTGCAATCAACTTGGTATGTTACGATAAAAGGTTTTAATTCTAACTTTTCTGACGCACAAAGGAAGTTTTTTTTCAACTGCCTTTTCAGATCGAGGAAAGTGAAGAGTAAATAATTTTCAAGTAACAAATGTCACGTATTTTTTCCCCCTGGGTACCATTTACTTTATCGCCAATTTTCAAAAAAAATCTTCTAACCCAAAAAAACTGAAAGTTTTTAAATTTTAAACATTTATTATTCAAGGTTCCGATGTAAATATAACGTTGAAACCATCTTGCTAACATCTTTTTAACCAAAGAGATGGCGCAAGAAACGAAATAAAGTGAATGAGTTTTAATGGTTTCCGTAAAGGAGTTTTATTGACATTTATAAAATATGCAGGGAAATTTTTAAAGGGAAAATTTTAAATAAAAATCTTAACCACGGGTTTTAAAAATATTTAAGTTGGTTCCTGTTTCGCTTTAAAATTTGATTTATTTTTTAGATTAACGCTGCCGCTCGGCGGAAACCCCCCTGTATAATTAAGAGAAGTAGGGGTGAATTTTTTGGCTTCAAATAAAATATTTAACTGTGTTTGCGCTTTCCCCCAAATGCGCATGCCCCGTAATTTGATTGAATGTAAAAAGTGTTTGGGAAAAAAAAACCAGCCACTGGGAAAAGTGTCTATTGTGTCAGAGAATTTTAAGGGGTAGTTATCGACTAAAAGATAAACCCTAAAATAAGGGGTTTGCACCATAAAATTGGTTTTTGTGTAGAGACCTGGAGTCAACTGCTAAGTGTTGAAGGACCCAACATTTTTCCGTCGAGCCGGAGCTTTGGGAAATTTGCTATTGATTAAATGGTGAGTGAAAATAATGTGTATTCGTATTACGAAGCAAAAGCCAAGTGCGGGAGGATAGGGATGAACAAGTTCGCCGA